ACGATTTGGGAGGTGTTGGTCAAGGGACTGGGAAAGGGATGGGGGACAATACCTATGAGGTTTGTACCATCAGCACGGTAGATGGGAGGGGCAGATATGGCGGGAGCAGGGGACCATATCATGTGTTGGGGGCTCGCACTCGCTGTTTGAGAGCAATTGCTTGCCCCGGTCCCCATGGCTCCTCTTGGAGACTAGGTGGCTTAGATACTCAGGATCTGGGCCTTCGGCTGATGTTATGCAATGCCAGGTCCGCGGTTAATAAGGCCCCCCTCATTCACGATCTTATACAAGAGGGAGGAGCGGACCTGGCGGGTATTACGGAGACCTGGTTGGGCCCGGAGGGTGGCGTCCCTCTGGTTGAAATGTGCCCACCAGGCTTCAGAGCATTCCATCAGCCGAGGGCCCAGGGGAGGGGCGGGGGGGTGGCGGTTATTATTAACGAGGATCTGGATCCGAGGGAGACCACTGTGCCTCAGATAGCCGGATGTGAGTCCCTCCTTGTGAGGTGGGGCCGTGGGGTTCAGATGGGCTTGTTGCTTACGTACCTGGCTCCCTGCCGCGTGGCAACAGCCCTTCCTGAGCTACTCGACGTGATAGCCACGGTGGCAGTAGATACACCCAGGCTTTTAGTCATGGGTGATTTCAACTTGCCATCCGTCGGTGAAACGTCTGAGGTGGCTCGGGAGTTCATGGCTTCCATGACGGCCATGGACCTGACCCAGTTAGTTCATGGCCCTACTCACAGGGGAGGTCACACTCTGGATCTGATTTTTGTCTCTGGCCAGTGGTTGAGTGGTCTTGTTATAGGGGATATAGACATGGAACCCTTGTCATGGACTGACCACTCACTCCTTCGCCTAGATCTTCGAACCGCAACCCCTCGCCGCAGGGAGGCGGACCCAATTAGATGGATCCGCCCCAGGCGCCTGATGGATCCTGATAGGTTCCAGACGGAGCTTGGGCCATTTCCTGAGGATCTAGCACATGACTCGGCCGAGGACCTGGTAGCCGCCTGGGATCGGGCAGCTGGTGGGGCCTTGGACCGAGTTGTGCCTTTGCGGCCTCTGACCCGATGCCGATCCCGGGTGGCTCCTTGGTTTACTGAGGAGCTGAGGGAAATGAAGCGCCGGAAAAGACGCCTGGAGAGCGGTTGGAGGGCCAGTCTCGCTGAATCTGATCGAACACTGGTAAGGTCGCATATTAAGGCCTACCTAGTGGCGATAAAGACGGCAAAGTCTAACTACTTTTCCACCTCTATTGCGTCATCAGGGAATCGTCCGGCCGCCCTGTTTAGGGTGACCCGCGCCCTGCTCCATCTGGGAGTGCGGGAGGATCCCTTAGAAGGCAGGGCGGAGGATTTCGGACAATACCTGTATGACAAAATCGCTCAGATCCGGGGGGATTTGGACTCTGACTGGGTAGATCAGGGCAGGGTGACGAGGAACAGTCTTGAGAATGTTATCTGGGAGGAGTTTGATGCTGTGACTCCCGATGATGTGGACAGGATTTTGGGGAGACTTAGTGCGGCCACATGTTTACTGGACCTGTGTCCCTCCTGGCTGGTACTGGCTTCCCGGGAGGTTACACGAGGCTGGCTCCAGGGCGTTATTAATGCTTCCTTGAGTGAGGGTCACTTCCCCGCTGCCCTGAAAGAGGCGGTGGTGAGGCCTCTCCTCAAGAAGCCGTCCCTGGACCCAGCAATATTGGCTAACTATCGTCCTGTCTCCAACCTTCGCTTCATTGCGAAGGTTGTTGAGAGTGTGGTCGCGCAACAGTTTCCACAATTCCTGGAGGAAACATCCTATCTGGATCCGTTCCAGTCAGGTTTCAGGTCTGGGCACAGCACGGAAACGGCATTGGTCGCGCTGGTTGATGATCTCTGGAGGGCTCGGGACAGGGGTTATTCCTCTGTTCTGGTCCTATTAGATCTCTCAGCGGCTTTTGATACCATCGACCATGGTATCATGCTGCACCGGCTGGAAGAGTTGGGGGTGGGAGGCACCGTGTTACGGTGGTTCTCCTCCTTTCTCTCCGACCGGTCGCAGTTTGTGTTGGCAGGGGGGCAGAGGTCGACCTCGAGGCCTCTCATTTGTGGAGTGCCGCAGGGATCGGTCCTCTCGCCCCTTCTGTTCAACATTTATGTGAAGCCGCTGGGCGAGATCATCCGTGGCTTTGGGGTGAGATACCACCAGTACGCTGATGACACCCAGCTGTACATCTCCACCCCAGGCCACCCCAACGATGCCCTTGAAGTGATGTCCCAGTGCCTGGAGGCTGTGCAGATCTGGATGGGGAGGAACAGGCTCAGGCTCAACCCTTCCAAGACTGAGTGGCTGTGGCTCCCGGCATCCCGATATAGTCAGTTGACTCCATCACTGACTATTGGGGGTGAGTCTTTGGCCCCCACTGAAAGGGCTCGCAATCTGGGAGTCCTCCTGGATAGGCAGCTGTCTTTGGAGGAACATCTGACGGCTGTTACCAGGGGGACCTTTTATCAGGTTCGCCTGATTCGCCAGTTGCGGCCCTTTCTTGATCGGGATTCCCTGTGCACAGTCACTCATGCCCTCGTCACCTCTCGCCTTGACTACTGTAACGCTCTCTACATGGGGCTCCCCTTGAAGAGCACCCGGAGGCTCCAGCTGGTCCAGAATGCAGCAGCACGGGTAGTGATGGGAGCAACATGGCGCTCCCATGTAACACCACTCCTGCGCGAGCTGCACTGGCTCCCGGTGGTCTTCCGGGTGCGCTTCAAGGTGTTGGTCATCACCTTTAAAACGCTCCATGGCATAGGGCCTAGCTATCTCCGAGACCGCCTGCTGCTACCGATGACCTCCCATCGACCCGTGCGCTCCCACAGAGAGGGCCTCCTCAGGGTGCCATCAGCCAAACAATGTAGGCTGGTGGCCCCCAGGGGGAGGGCTTTCTCTGTGGGGGCTCCCACCCTCTGGAATCAGTTGCCCCCGGAGATAAGAAGAATCCAGGACCTCAATGCCTTCCGTCGTTCCCTGAAAACCTATCTTTTTCAGCAAGCCGGGTTGGCTTAAGAAGAAATTTTAAAATTTTTAAATCCTTTTAATTAGTCTGCGATTTTTAATTTTTTGGGGCCAAATTTTATATATATTTTTAAATGTTTTAATATTTGTATTCTATGTCTTTTATCTTGGCTGTACACCGCCCTGAGTCCTCAGGGAGAAGGGCGGTATATAAATTCGAAATTAAATTAAATTAAATTAAATTAAATATGAGTTAGTTGCCAAGCATCTAAATTTTGATCATGTGATCACGGAGATGTGGCAATGGTCGTAAGTGTGGAAAATGGTTGTTAAGTCGGTTTTTTTCAGTGCCGTTATAACTTCGAACAGTCACTGAATGAACTGTTGTAAATCAAGGACTACCTGTACTGCTTTTAATCTGATGCAAGATAGATAAAAGTCCTAATGGTGGGTTTGAGGGCTGATTAAGAATGGCATTAGCTATTCCTGTCCTTGAGACCTAGTTAGTGCACCATGGAATGAATGAATGAATGAATGAATGAATGAATGAATATATGAGTAAGCCCTGAAGTTCCTTTCCCTTGAACTTAAAAAAAATCATCTCATGATCTTTATAACTTTAAGCTTTCTGAAAGCTTCACTGTTTCCCTTAAAGAATGGAACCAGCCTCTGTTGTGATTGCCAAAAATACTTTAAACTTCTTATTTAAAAGGAGCTCTAACTAGCAGTATTACCTTTTAAAGTGTTTTGGTCTGATTCCTGGAGAGAGGGGTAGCTTTATTTTCCTCTTTATGGATTATTGCAAGCTGCCTAGAAGTCATATGAATGAGTGAGTGAGTGAGTAAGTGAATGAATGAATGAATGAATGAATGGTTTCAGTGGGCTGAATGATAGTTTATAAATTTGTAGTGCCTGCAAGCCAGCAACTTCTTCCTGAATAGCCATCATCTGCCACATAATCACTATGAATTTCTGGAATAACATATGGAATAAGGGCTCCTGAAACAAGACACAGCCTCACATGTTCCCATTACTGCAGTGTCTGGCACATTTGTATTACAGATTCACCACCTGTTATTCCCACACTCCTTCTGCAATTATGTCCTAATGAAATTCAAAACAGTTGGATTGCTACTTTTAATTTATTGTAATTGGTATTGCTGTAGATACATAATCACTGTACAATCTTGTAATTCCTATCAATTGGAGAGTTTAAAACATTGTGACTTTCCTTTCAATTTATCTTGGACCTAGGAGTAGAGAAAAGACTTAACAAGCCAGGAATTAGTGCTTATCCTTCATTTCTGCTTTTTTTTTTTTTTTTTTTTTTTCTTGGTATCATGTCAGGCAACTAATTTTTGAGGGGAGAGGTTACATTTCAATCCAATCATAAATGTACGAGCAAACATAGATTTTTTTTTTAAGAAAAGGACCCCTCCCCATTTCTGAAGCTGTAGTATCATGCATGTGCTTCAGCCCTAAACACGTTATGTATCTCGGTGTTATACTTGATCATGTGATAAGTATGGGTATCATGACTTTGTATTCAGTGACATGAACTGCAATTGTACCGTGTTTCCCCAAAAATAAGACCCTGACTTATATTTTTTGAACCCTATAATAAGCGCTTGGCCTTATTGTCATGTGCTCAAAAGCCCGATTGGGCTTATTATCAGGGGATGTCTTATTTTGGGGGAAACAGGGTATGTACTTAAAAAAAAAGTCCATTACAATGGAATGCAGCTCTAGTAACATAAGTCTGCACTTTTTAGTTTATTGACCACCAGAGACAAAACAGTGTATAAACAGACTAAATAGTTATGTTCCAATACATTTTCCAAAAGGCAACAGAATAGGAATTAGAATGAGACTTTGGATACAGAATTAAGCTGAAAAATAGATCAAGTTTATTGGTTTTTCCCTACCAAGGTTTAGAAAGCAATGGGAATTGAAAAGATCTGTGAAATGGAAATGGTACCCATTTCTTATCTGTCTTTCTATTTGTAGGTATTCTGTGGATCGGCATACTGATATGGACAGAATATTCAACATTGATTCTGGAAATGGATCAATATTTACTTCCAAACCTCTCGACCGAGAAATGTTATTGTGGCATAACATTACAGTAATAGCTGCTGAAATCAGTAAGTTGCCTGTAAACACACATACACACACACACACACACCATTGCTCTAACAAGTGCAGCGTTTTAGCCAAGCATGGCTGAAAAGAAGTCAGGTCTATATGCTTTGGTTGCTTGCCGTTAGTTAAAGACATAAACCTAAAAGAGCTTATTTATTTTTTCTCATCTTTCCCTTGGCTATAATTTATGAAGAGGCAACTGAATGCCTGAACAGAAAGAAAATGAAGAGGCTCCTCATTTCATTTCATTTCATATCAAAAAAGCCAGAAGAATTCTTCTGGTTATTGACTATCAGTCAGCAGTTGCTGATTTGCAAAGAAGTTATATAGATTAAAAAGATACAGATTTATCACGTCAGGGAGGAGAATGAAATTCTGTATGTTTTTCATTCCTGGGAATTTCAGGCCAAAACCAATTGACCAAAATGAAAGAATAAAATTTAAAAGCCACTTACTTCTGTCGAAAGCCTGTTAACTTAATTAGGATCAGAATTAATTAGGAGAAATAAAAACCAGCTCATCACTCTTAAATCCATTTATGCCATAGTTGTTATTGATGGGACTAACTTTCAGGTAGATATGCTTCAAGAGCTAGGGTCAGGGCAATTAGATTGCAGTGAAAGCAAAATGCATGTTTTGTCGTCTTTGAAAATGTCAGCCACGTATATCATCCTTCACTGTGTCCAGTTTTGTCCAAGCAAAGGTGATGGAGGAAGTAGTGATATTTCACTCCTTCAATTGATAATGGCAATTTAATCAATCAATCAGAATAGAGCTGGAAGGGATCTTGGAGGTATTCTAGTCCACCCCCTGCTCAAGCAGGAGAACCTATACCAGTGATGGCTAACCTTTTTGCCATTGCGTGCCAGGAGTGGGGGGAGCGCGTGGGGGTCGCATGCGTGTGTCCACACCAATAATTCTATGTGCCCTGCCCCTATGCTTGTGTGCATGACACCCCCCCCCCGCTCCTGGCATGTGATGGCCCAATGGGCCTGTTTTTCTCTCTCCCCAGGCTCCAGAGCCTTTCTAGGAGTCTGGGGAGGGCAAAAACTGCCATATGTTCACCATCCCGGGCCTATATCATTTCAGATAGGTGGCTATCCAGTCTTTTCTTTAAAACCTCCAGTGATGAAGCACCTACAACTTCTGAAGGCAAGCTGTTCTACTGGTTAATTGTCCTCACTGTTAATCTCCTTAATTCCAGGTTGCTTCTCTCCTTGTTTAGTTTCCATCCATTGTTTCTAGTCTTGCCTTCTGGTGCTTTGGAAAATAGATTGACCCCCTCTTCTTTGTGGCAGCCCCTCTAATACTGGAATATTGCTATTATGTCACCCCTAGTCCTTCTTTTCTCTAGACTGGCCATACCCAATTCCTGCAACCGTTCTTGATATGTTTTTGTCTCCAGGCTCTTAATTATCTTGTTTGCTCTTCTTTGCACTTTTTCCAAAGTGCAAAGAATGGATATATTCCATTATATCTTTTTTTGTAATGAGGTGACCAACCTGGATGCAGTATTCCAGGTGTGGTCTTACTCAGTGGTGGGTTTCAAAAAATCTTAACACCGATTCTGTGGGTGTGGCTTGGTGGGCGTGGCATGGTTTGGTGGGCATGGTTTGGTGGCCGCGGCAGGGGAAGGATACTGTAAAATCTCCATTCCCACCCAACTCCGGGGAAAGGATACTGCAAAATCCCCATTTCCTCCCGATCAGCTGGGACTTGGGAGGCAGCTGAGGCAGGACCAGTCAGAATTTTTACTACCGGTTCTCCGAACTACTCAAAATTTCCACTACCAGTTCTCCAGAACTGGTCAGAACCTGCTGAAACCAACCTCTGGTCTTACTAAAGATTAATAAAGCGGTACTAATATATCACATGATTTTGATTCTAGGCCTCTGTTTATACAACTAAGAATTATATTAGCTTTTTTGGTGGCTGCTGCACACTGATGGCTCATGTTTAAGTGATCGTCCACTAGGACTCCAAGGTCTCTCTCAGTTACTGTTTTTGAGCCAGGTTTCACCTAATCTGTAGGTGTACTATTGGTTTTTTCTTGCCTAGATATAAAACCTTCCTTTTCTCCACATTAAATTTCATGCTGTTGAATAGGATCCATTATTTAAGTCTGTCTTTTTGAATCCTGAGACTGTCTCTGGGGTGTTGGCTATTCCTGTCAGCTTAGTGTCATCTGCAAATTTGATGAGTTCCCCTTTTATTCCCTCATCTAAGTAGTTTATGAACATATTGAAGAGCACATTTGATGAAAAGCAGAGCCTTGTGGTACATTAAAGAGTAACATATTCATTACTGCACAATTATAAGTTTCCATGGTTCATAGGATCAGAACAACTGAAGATAAATGTGGCATTGAAATAAATTAAACCATCTTCTTTTTCCTATATAATATAAAGCTATTATATCTGGGCTACAAAATTCTAGAGGATGATGAGATGACAGTAAACAGAGATGTCTTTATCTCTTTATTTGCTACTATTGCCCGTTCCCCCAGATTTTATAGCTCAGATACGGTATGCCCATTAAAGGTAACTACACATAAAAGATACTCATCACTTACAAATAATAACAATCATACATAGCAATAGTATTAAGACCCACTGTAATAATTAATATGGGTAGTAAGGAGTAAATTCCAGTATATTTCTTTTCTCCACAAAATCCCTTTTGCCTTCCCAGCTGCCTGTTCCTACTATGTATTTCTCTGTGAGGAGCACTTCATAATAAAGTACTTAAATGAAGCCAGTATGATAGTTGAATTCTATGCAATAAGTATTTCTACATTTTAGGTGAAATTACTAGGAATTGCAATTGAAAATATCTACAGAGTACCAGGATGTCATATTCAAATTTATCTATTAAAAATGTGAATTGGGGCAAGAGCTGTAGTGGCACAGTGGTTAGAATGCAGTATTGCAGGCTAATTCTGCCTGCAGCCAAGAGTTCGAACCTGACCAGTGCAAGGTTGACTCAGCCTTCCATCCTTCTGAGGTGGGTAAAATGAGGACGCAAATTGTTGTGGGGCAATATGCTGACTCTGTAAACTGCTTAGAGGGGGCTGTAAACAGTGGTGGGATTCAGCCAGTTCTCACCACTTCGGGAGAACCGGTTGTTAACTTTCTGAACAGTTTGGCAAAATGGTTGTTGGAAGAAATCATTAGGGCAGAGAACCAGTTGTTAAATTACTTGAATCCCACTACTGGCTGTAAAGCACTATGAAGCGGTATATAAGTCTAAATGCTATTGTGATTGTGATTGCTATTGATAAGGTGAATAAGAAAACAGAGCTAAAGTTAGGAAACTTGCCTTTAAGAGGCACTGTGGTTTCCAGGAAAACTTATTTCCAACAGGACTTGTGTTAAGATACAGATAGGTTATAAGGCTGAAACTAAAAATAAAGAAAACTGATATGGAAATGGAAAGCTAAAATTTCATTATAGTAAAGTGGACCAAAGCATTTCAGATTGCCTATGATGAAGAGAAAAGATTAACCTGCCCACTATAAAGTGAATATTATATCAATGCTTCCTTTGAAGTTCACCCTTGGAAAAAGAGTTGCAAGCAACAGCATGTCAGATCTCTGTTTATGTTAGCACAGATAAGAAAAATAAAAGCAGGTAAAGTTTGTCTTTCAATTTTACTCAAATCAAAATGAAAATTCTAATAGTAAATCCTCCCCCACTTGCTCCCTTTCCTTAAACCCTTGGTGATCACTGACTCACATTCCCACTTGATCTGTTTATATTAATCAACCACATATGTGCAAATAGTAGCATCTCAAGAATTACAAGAAGGGCTCTTCTTTAATATTGTAATTTTTTTTCCTTTCTTTCATTTTTTATTTGTAGTAGTAGCAACAGAAGTAATATAGATGAGGGGAAGATAGTGTGAAAAAGAATCCTATGGATTTGTGGCGATCTCTTTGGTGACATTATATCAGAGAATTATACAGATGGAAGGGAAAGGGAAATCATAAGATGGAATTTGAACCAGTCATATTATTATAAAGAATGAGGCAGCTATCTCAAGGAGCAGATGGAAAGGAGAGGAGATAGGCCAAGCCTTAACCACTCTCATTCTTCGAAGGACAGGATTGTATGCCATGTCACACTTAGGTGCAGTAAATAACATACTATCCATTCATCTGCTAGTCTATTCTGCTTCTGTTATTCCTCAGACAATAAATTGTCAGTCCTGGGTAGTAAAAGAATGTTATAACTCATTGCTTGAATTCACTTCACGAATGTCTTGCGCCCTGAAAAAGCAAAAAACAAACAAACAAACCCACAAACAAGCAAACCTCTTTGTCCTCCTGTTAAAATACCTTCCCTTTGTGTTATTACAGACAACCCAAAAGAAAGCAGCCAAGTCCCAGTATTTATTAAAGTCCTGGATGTGAATGACAACGCTCCAGAGTTTGTCATGTTTTATGAGACCTTCGTCTGTGAAAATGCAAAAGCTGAGCAGGTTAGCAGTTTGTGTTTTAAAAGAAATAAATATCTGGTGTTTTGTGCCTTTTGTGTTGCAAGGAGCTGTCAGCAATGGTAAATGAAATCAACTCATCATTTCTTGACCCAGACTGTAACTGGCATTTTGCATGGTTTAGATGGTTCTTTCTAGCACTTTGTTTCACTATCTGCCATTCTGCCCTTCGTCTGTTCCTTTTGACAGAAAATTCTCTTTCTTTGGATAAACCAGTGGTGAGTATGTATAGAGAATCTGCAGCCTTAATGGGGCAAATATCACCAGATCCAAACTCTGGTTATTCAACAATCCAAACAACCAGTTAGTATTATTTTATGTGTAATCTTCTATTTGATTCATAAAACAGAGACTGGCAAAAACATTATAATTCAAGTCCTAACCAAGGATATACTGGTGGTCTTCAACTTATGACCACAATTGAACCCAAAATTTCTGTTGTTAAGTGAGACATTTGTTAAGTGAGATTTGCCCCATTTTATGATCTTTCTTGCCACAGTCGTTAAGTGAATCACTGCAGTTGACAAGTTAGTAACCTGGTTGTTAAGTGAATCTGGCTTCCCCATTGACTTTGCTTGTCAGAAGGTCACAAAAGAACACATCATTGGTGGGTTTCAAATTTTTTTATTACCGGTTCTGTGGGTGTGGCTTGTTGGGCATGGTATGGCTTGTTGGGCGTGGCTTGGTGGACGTGGCAGAGGAAGGATATTGTAAAATCTCCATTTCCTCCCAATCAGCTGGAACTCAGGAGGCAGAAAATAGATGGGGGCGGGGCCAGTTAGAACGTTTACTACCGATTCTCCAAACTGCTCAAAATCTCCGCTACCGGTTCTCCAGAACTGGTCAGAACCTGCTGAAACCCACCTCTGGAGCACATGATCTTGGGGCATAGCAATGAACCAGTTGCCAAGCATCTGAAATTTTTATTACATTATTGTGATATTATGGGGATGCTGCAAAAGTCGTAAGTATGAAAAACGGCCATAAGTCACTTTTTTCATTGCTGTGGAACTTTGAACAGTCACTAAATGAACTGTTGTAAGTTGAGGACTACCTGTGGACAATTCTAAGCAGGGTATTTTGTGTGTGTGTACCATAAGGATGTTCAGGTCTGATAAATTCAATATTTCCAAATATCGAGGGAATCTTTTAGGTATTGGTGCCAGCCAGGTCTCCAATTGTGATTGGTGTTACAATGGAGGTTTTTTCCCCCATAAGTGTTCAATTTATGGAAAATCTGCAAGTCCTTTTATTTTGCAGTGAGGGAGGGAATGTTTTTCTTCAATCCTACTTTTATGATGTGGTGTGTGTGTGTGTGTGTGTGTGTATGCATGCACAAACACACGTGCGTGTGCATAATATTTTCAGAAAAATAAACATATAACAAGAGCCAGACTGGTGTAGTGTTTAAGGCATAAAGCTAGAAACTGAAAACCATTCTATTCTGGCCTTAGGAACAATGCCAGCCAGGTGACCTTGAGCCAGTCTCTCTCTCTCAGCCCTATGACACAAGCAATGGCAAACCACTTCTGAAAAAATCCTTACTAAGAAAATTAAGGAACTAGTCCAGGCAGTCTCTGAGCATCAGACATGATTGAATGGAAGAAAAAGAGACATAGCCTGAGACAGATATGTTAATCTCTGACCTTCAGTGATGCCTGAAACATGCAAATATGTTGGGGGATTAATAAATCTCTCTCTAATTACAATACCAATACAAAAGCAACAATAAAAGCCTTTTTCCCCACCCAAGTTCCCAGTTTTCATGGGGAAAGTGTTCTATTCGGAGGAAAGATTAGTATACAATAAAAAAAATATCTTATCCACCGCTATTTGTTATCTTGTTTGTTATTATTAATTGATTGCTTTCAGCCTATTTATTATTTCTGATGAATAAGAACAAGGTGTAGATATTGGTCTGTGTGCCATAAGTAAAGATAAAATGACAATATTTTTTACTTTTCTAGCTCATCCAGACTCTCAGTGCAGTTGACAAAGATGATGCTTTTGGTGGGCACAAATTCTCATTCACTTTGGCCCCAGAAGTAGCCAGTAGCTCCAATTTCACCCTTCACGACAACAAAGGTATCCTTGGGTTTTGTTTTTGTTTTTTATTGCATACTTTCTCTCTTTCTTATTTGGCTTTGACATTCAGAAAGAACTCATTCCTTACCACATTTTTTTTTTCTATTTTACTCTGGCACGAGTGATTTATTTTTTATTTTATTTTTTTAATAATTTTTATTAAAGTTTTTTAAAAAACAAACAAACAAACAAATAAAAACAGATATTTACATCTTCTTCTTTTTAACATCTTCACATCAGTAATCCATATTTATACATTTTCTCTTTCTTATCTTAATATATCTTTTATACATATATTTCTAGTATATCATATATATACCATTATAATATATTCTTTTAATCTAAATATTTTATTTACATTTAACATAAACAGGTACCTAATTTCCTTTCCACAATTAAAACTTCCCATTCCTTACCACATTTTTACATTCTTTTTTTTTTTTCAGATAATACAGCTGGAATCTTCACAAAGAAAATGAGATATAACCGTCATGAAATGAATATATACCTCCTACCAGTGATAATCTCAGACAATGAGTATCCAGTTCAGAGTAGCACAGAGACGGTGACAATTCGAGTGTGTGCCTGTGACCAAAGAGGCAAAATGCTGTCCTGTAATGCTGAAGCACTGATCCACCCAACTGGCCTTAGCACAGGCGCATTGATCGCAATTCTCCTTTGTATAATTATATTGTTAGGTAAAGGACTTTGCATGAACTCAAGGGCTATGGGGAGTAGGATGGAGAACATAAATTGTGCTAAGGAACAAAGGAAGCATATTACACATGAATATAACTATGACAAATTATTAGTAGAGTCATCTTTTAGTATAGATAGAATTAGCCCATGATGCATTTTTTACTTTCTGTGTCTTCTGAGAATTCATCAATAGTGATACCCAATACATTGATTGTGATAAAGAGAAAACCTCTATTTCAGATTCAGCTATCTCCATACTCATGCCATCTTTCCTATTTCTACACATGAATCAAATATCGCAAATTTATTTTGCTAACTTGTTAGTTACAGTGGGTTTGCTATCTAATCAACAAACTCAAGTACATATCCTCTATAAACAGTTCAGAATTATTAATCCTAAATATGTTCTGCAGTTATAATTATGGAGGAACTCACATGGATCAATTCAAATACATATAATTTAAAGTTCACCCACTAAGAAGCTGTGGGCATACTAATTCCTTAAATGCAGCTGCCACAAATATCCTTCTACTTCCAATCAGGACATTATTATTCCTATCATTCCCCAGCTTGATAGAGGTATTGCTGGGTTGAAATGCTAACCAACATGACAAGAAAACTAGGCTCTCATAATTTTTGCTGTATCTATTTCTGATCTTTCTTTACCTCTGCTTAAAGTCAGAGAAGGTAATCATACAACAACAACAAAATGCTGTCAGGACATGTTTGGTAGATGCAGGTGGGAAAGGTTCATCAACTGGAATTCTAAAGTGTTTTCAAAAAATTCACCAATTCATGAGATGATCTGTAGCTCAGTGATTGAACTGTGGATGCTCTCTGAGCTTAGTTGCCTGTTTGCAGATATTTCATTTTCCAACTAGATAACTTCATTTGTGAGAATGAGTGTGGGGTTTTCTACCTATTTGGATATAAAATCTTGTCTTGCCAGTTTTGGGGAAGAGGGTGTCTTCTTGACAGTTTCTTGATTTTTTCCCCTATAACTCTATAATCTAGGAATCAATAAATTATGTTGTCAGGATGGGGCTTAAAATAATAATTATTGGCATTGTGGTGCTATAGCCTGCAGTGGAATGCAATTAATAGCTGATACCATCTTTCTCTTCTCCTTTGATCCGCAATACAATATTAATGCCAGGTAGTTAACCAAAAACAGTAAAAATAATCAAACTACAAATTCTATTTTTAAGAGTAACAAAGCAGATGATTTGATCATTCATTTGCTTTTGGTTATATATTTTATTTTCAATCTTAGTAGACCCAGCTTTAATGCTAAGAATTGCTGAAGAGCCAGAAGAAAAGCAACATCTCAGCTTTGCTTTTAACATGTTTTTTTTTTTTTACCATTAAGAAGACCTATTCTACAAGTTCACATTAAAATGAAGAAAAAAAAAACCAGCTTGAGAACTGAGAACACAATTATATTTTGAGCTGAATTACTTAGTACTTTGCACAAATTCAATTTGCATATTTATTTCTTTGAATGAAATCTCATTTCTGGTGATATTAGAGTACCAGACTAAAAATAAATTTAAAAATGCAAATTAGCTCTGTATTTTTACACTGGTTGGTAAAGTATTAGACGATATATAGAGCACAAATGACCGTTTGGACTGAGACAGAATTTATATGGCATAGAGATTAACATTTTGATCAAAGGATGAGATAAGTTGTTAAGGCTATGCAACTTTTGCATGATCCATTCCATATCTTCCCATTTCCAAACAGTTATTTTAGGGATACCTTATTTGTATATTCAACACCATAGGGTTTTCCCATGTGATCTGCATTTAAGAGGAAAAAACTATTCCTGAGAAGTTCTGCTAGCCAAAAACGACAATTCTAGATTGGATGGATAAGCAGTCTCATTTGTGTAAGACTCTTTTTCTTCATTTATGATTTGAAGACTAAGCTAAGGGACTCAGTAGAGTTGTCTTCCTTGAGGATCTTCTGAAAATCATGGAGTAGCTCCGTTAACAACGTGAATATTTTTGTAAGATTTTTGTAAGAAAATGATAATTTCATGATTTCCATCAATAAGAAAACTAGTATTTTTATTTCCACAGTCAAGTATTTTAGTGAAGTTGAGAAAAGAATGGGGCAGTCAGCTTGAGACTATAGCTAAATGTCTATTTTTATTTTATGCCAATCATCTTTGAATTTGGAATTTAGTGAGAATTATCTAATAAATATTCCAAACTAAATTATTTGGATTAGTTATTCTTTAAACTAAAAGAAACTAAGTTTAAACTAAGGTGAGAAAGACCTTATTAAGAGTATCATTGAGAACTTCGGTAGTTGTGTGTTTGAAGCTTTATTTATGCCAGCACTCACATTCAAATATTGTAATTCCTGAAATGGTTGGAGGTAAGTCCACATTTTAAACCAGGGGTTCCCAAACCCCGGTCTGTGGACCAGCATTGGGCCACAGCATGCGAGAAACCAGGCCGCGCAAACAAGCCAAGCCCTATCTGTGGGATGCAGGCAGCTTCTGAAATCACACCCCCTCTGGTACCTCTCTCCATGGAACCAGTCCCTGGTGCCCAAAAGGTTGGGGGCTACTCGGGGAGAAATGCTCCCAGTTTGGCCTGGTTTGGCCAAACCGGTAGCGATGGCAGCCGGTGGTTCAGAGAACTGGTAGCGATGGCGGCGCGAGGCTCCACCCTCCCGCCTGGTTGTCAGCATGTGCACTTCCGAACTGGTTGGGAAGGTAAGTAGATTTCATCCCTGGGGCTACTATTTTAAACCACCAGTTCTAAATAATAGTTCCTAATTTTTCATACTTAGATTTTGGCAGTTGGCCATTTGAGAGCCAAATCTGGGCTCCCAATTTTTTTAAGTGTCAAAAAGCAAATATAGCACCAGAGGCAACTAGAAAAATACTCAAATTGCCTATTTTTAAATAGCATAGATTAAAGAATTATAATATACTTCAATAAATGTTTTAAAGGAAGACATTTTTAAAGTGTTACTATACCTTTTTTCCTTGTATAATATTGATACTGTCTCACTTTAAAAAAATCCTTAGAGAACAAAATTCAAATAATTTCAGCAGTTCATCATCAACATTTGATGTACCTGAATTTTCTTGTTCTTTTGTCTCACCTCAAAATAATCACTTCTGTGACTTTAAAAGGATTGCACTGTTGCAACAGGAAACCAAACTGAAATTCATCTACATTTTAGCTTGAACCCTGCACTTCACCAAACCTTTCTTGTACTTAACAACTCCTAAAAGGATGAGCTCCAAAGTGAGAATGAGTTATGGATTGTACTATTTTGCAGATCTTCTTGCAAAAGAAAACAAAACAAGTTCCAAAGAATACAAATTTCATGGTAGCTTGCTTTCGTTTTAATTAGCTGGAGAATTAATGTCCCTCTCAATTCAGCCGACTTTGCTCAATTTATTTATTTATTTCTTCTTACCAGTTACTGTGGTGCTGTTTGCAGCTCTGAGGCGGCAAAGAAAGAAAGAGCCTTTGATCATCTCTAAAGAGGACATCCGAGATAACATTGTCAGTTACAATGACGAAGGCGGCGGAGAGGAAGACACTCAAGCCTTTGATATTGGCACGCTGCGAAATCCTGAAGCCATAGAGGACAATAAATTGCGCCGAGACATTGTGCCAGAAACGCTGTTCATGCCACGCCGGACTCCAGTGGTACGAGACAACACTGATGTCAGAGATTTTATTAGCCAAAGGTTAAAGGAGAATGATACAGATCCAACTGCACCCCCTTATGACTCATTAGCTACATATGCATATGAAGGCAGTGGCTCAGTGGCTGACTCTCTTAGCTCTTTAGAGTCGGTGACCACAGATGGAGACCAGGACTATGATTACCTCAGTGACTGGGGGCCTCGTTTTAGGAAGTTGGCCGATATGTATGGTGGTGAAGACAGTGATAAAGACTCCTAATAATGTTGCCTTTTCCTTTTTCAAGAAACAGCAGTGAAATGTGTGATGTCGCTACTTCTTTCTATATATCAACCATTCTCGGAAAGGGTTCTCTAAACCTATCGGTTTGAATTGTTTCTTGACTGCAGTCTTTGTGGATCTGATGTCATTCCCACTGTAATTTCAGCTTCCAAGAGAGGAAGAAACCCCACCAAACCTTTGTTATTTTTTCAATCGCGTTTTTATTTAGGCAGTTCAACGGCCAAACGGCAAAGCAATTGAGGGAGAACTTCCCCACCCCAAACAGAAATGGAATACTAATTTTAATATGTTTCTGCTAATTTTGTAAATGGGATTACCTTAATGTTATAGCTCACCAAATAACCTATATTTTAATTATTCACCCAAGACACATTTTTATGCAAATTATATATATTGAACACCCTATTTTAAGGAAATGATATGGCTTATATATTATAGGAAAAGAGTATAGGTCTTTTAAAAGCTACAAGGGAGCTGTAAATTGTTCTCACTTAACAACCACTTGTTCAGTGGCATTTGAAGTTAAGATGGCACCAAACAAGGGGGTTTATGGCCAATCCAAGCCTTGAAGTTGTGCCATCACAGAATTCCCATGATAACTTGATTGCAATTTGGGCACTTGATTGCATTTACAGTTGTTGCAGCATCCCATAATCATTTGCAACCTTCACTCTACCTTCCCACAAGCAAAATCAATAGGGAAGCCAGCAGTAAATTGCAAGTCATGATCACATAACATCTGGCTTAACGACCATGCGGGATTCATTTAACAACAACAATTGGAAGTGCTGGAACTGCCACTGTTAAGTTAGCCTGGTCAATGTGGTAATTGGCTTTACAACTGCATCACTTAACGATGGGCTTGTTGGTTCCAGCTACCATCATTAAGTGACAACTACCTGTAAGATACTTTTTAAGTAATTCAATGGTCTTTTGAATGCTAGGGTTAATTTTGAATTGGTCACTTTCCTCAAACTATCAAAACATAATAATAATGGACAATCAGAAGTGAGAAGAAAGGAGAGATATGTTTGTGTATATATGTGCCTAGTAAGTGGTCCTAGCCAATTCAGTATGTGGGCTACAGTAATGTAGTGCAAGAAATATTCTATTTCTGGAAAGTAGTCTATTAGGTAAGGTAATGTATAGAGATTGTAACAGTGTGTATCAAGGAAGCAGAGTATTGCTGAAAATACATGTATGGATTTCAAGTAAACCAACTTAATAATAATAAGAGTAGAATAATTGAAATCAATGAATTTCAAGTTAGAAATATCTAAATTAATTCCCACTGATTTAAGTCACTCTATTGTAAGCAGGACAGAGTCTGGATCCAATCTATAATACATGAAGAGGGTTTCTACTCTGTATTTTGTGAGTTCAATTCATATTAATTATTTCTCAATACCAACTCATATCAGCAAAAAACAAAGGCTGTTATGTTCTCTTTATCACTCCCCACTTGCTCAGCTGGTGGATTGCTATTATTTCTACCTCCTCCTTCTTAACAAAATACTCTGGTACTAGTGCCTAGGATTAAGCCGACAGCAGGTACTATATTGTGCAGCAAGGAAAAAACATGGGAGAAATAAGGAACTAGTACTACAGTAGTGCCTGGCTAAGCAAGCAGCAGGAAATTGCATTTGATACAACTTGCAATAATAATTCAGTTGAACACTGGTTCATGCTGCTAAACCACTGCTGAGCAAAGGGTTTCAGCCACACCAATTAACAAGCATTTGCATTGGCCATGAGGTGCATCAGAGATGGCTCTGTATAGGATTGAAATATGAAACATGGGCAGATGTTACAGAGTCAAAATTTAAAAGAAAAAAAAAAAGCAATGAAATGCAAAACAAAAACAAGACACAAAGCAAGGCTGAAGTGCTACTACCTGAAATTCAGTTGCATGCTGAGCATGCTGAAAAGAGCAGAGAAAGCTTTGAGCTACATGCCATGCTTGAACTCCCTTGGCTTTAATGTCTCCTTGATCCACTCATCTGCCTCACAATCAGCACCAAAAAGAGGTCTAATAGGAGTTCCTTATGAGCTCTCTGATTTATTTAATGGCCGCATTTTTAAAATAAATGTTTGTATTATTATTATTATTTTCATTTTTGCGTATCGTAGATCCAAGCTTATGAACATGGTATAGCTTCTTTTAATTGCAGAATTTCCTCTTCTGTAATTACTATTGCAATATTTATATTATTAGGGGGGGGTGCATGTGTGCACATGCACACGTGCACAATTACATTTAGGTGTTCCCAATAATGGGTTTCAATTTTGGCCGCTACCGGTTCACTCGTGGGTAAACGCTTGTGGCACTTCTGTGCATGTGCAGAGACATTCAGGCGGGTGGCCGGAGCTTCCCACCACCACCGCTACCAGTTCACCCAATCTGGGGCGAACCGGTAGCAACCCACCACTGCGTGTTCCTGAATCCCTTTGTCTGATATAGTTATAAAACAGCTGTTTAGTATTACAGTTAACAGAAGTTTACTAAGGTCCAGTGGGCTGGAAAAGTTGTCTTAAAAAAATTGCTAAGGGTTTACATAGAAAGTCAGAGGGACACTGAATCAGACCCACCTATTTTGCTGTGCTAAAAAATACTAAACTGCTATCAGAAAAACTCAATATTGGAATCCTAGGCATATCTACTCATAACTGAGCCCCACTGATTCATTAGAGACTTCCAAACAGTACTGCTTTGTAGCCTAATTGTTATTAAAACATTAAGCCAGTGGTTCTCAACCGTGGTCCGTGAACCCTGGGAGGGGGTGCAATGTCATCCCAGGGGATCCACAAAATCTTGAAGATATGATTTAAATCTTGAGTTGAGTCTTGGTGGTCTGTGGCTGTGATTCGTGGCCACAAAAGGTATTTAGAGGGTGTCCGTGGTCAAGAAAAGGTTGAGAACCACTGCTTTAAGTCGTGAACCCAATTACTCGTTATTCGATTGCCAGAATCTCTCATTTAAATCTGTCCAATTTTAAGAAACCGATTTATTGGTTTTTTTTTTAAAATGTTTTAAAAAATTACTGAATTGTTTTTTTTTCAAACCAGCAATTTTTGCTTTTCCTTAATAACATTTTAAAGATCTGAATACAAAAATATGACTCAAAAAGTAGAATTTGTAAGCATTTCCAGAGCAGATCTGCTGTATCTACATATAAAATAATAATAATAATAATAATAATAACAATAATAATAACAATAATAATAACAATAACAACAACAACTACTACTGATTGTTCCATTTGGAAGTAGATTGGCATCTTCGGGACCCTCCATCGCATAGCACTTGCCTTTTGTGTATTCTCATAACTTAATCAAGCTTCTACAGTGAGTCAATACTTTTCAGCTCTGCTGAGACTGGGGAGCAACCCCAGAGAACAATTCTTCAGAACTCCCACAAGAAATTTGAGATAAGAGGTTTCAAATTGGTAGCTATCGCCCAAATCTTCCAGTCTGTCCTTTCCTGCAGAAACTAAGTTTGTATGGTACTGTGCCATTTCCCTCTTGAGAGTACATTGAATTGAGAAACAAATTGGCCATTATGCTAAACAGTGACTCGGGTGTATTTTTGTTCTTGTTGCAAAAAAAGGAGAAACCCACCATCACCACTACTACAAACAGATATGGGACACTAGTTACATACTATTAGTAAGCTACAGGGAACATGGGCAGCTGGTAAACACAGAGTGGCATAGTGATGAGAATATAGTATTTATAGGGCAGTATGGAAAAAATTAATTAGTGGGTAAAAATGGCTATGTAGAAATTCCCTTTGTTTTTGGACATTATGGTTTACTATTTTTTTAAAAAACTGCTAGGTCTGTTTTGGCAAAGAGATCAGTAGGACTGAGGCATGTATATGTCCTATTATATTTCCCAACCTGATGTCTTCCAGATCTGTGGTGCTGCTACTGTTATCATTTTCCGATAAACTATGCTTACCGAGAAAGGATGGGAGTTGTAGGTAACCCAATGAAGAGTTAAGTTGGGGATGCTATCATACATTATAGGTAATGAAATTATTCATCATCTGTTTTCATTTAAAAAAAAATAGAATAAAATAAGATCAGTGTGTTTCTGATCTTATGATGCAAGTAAGAAAATCAAATCAAAGAGTGCATAAGATTCCAAAGTAATCAGTTAAATGTTTCAGGTTTTGTACATCTCTTGACTTATGTTATTTTAAGGAGATTAATTCCACAGAATACTGTGCTGCAAATAACCAAATAGCAATTTTAGTGTCATTTTAACAAAAGAGTGAAATTATAGGTACTGAGAGCGTGAAATTTAGGTACTGTCTCCTGACAGTAATTTTCAAATAATTTATTTTATGCTACAAATAGATTAATTTGTTTTGGAGAACTAGATTATTAATATTAAGTATGTGTACACTGATCTGAAGTAAAAGATATAAATTTGGAGTTGATCCAAATTAGTTTGATAATGAAGGAGCAATAAGAAACAATCAGAGTGAAATTTAATTTATATGTAAGACATTTTGAGGGATTTCTTTGAAAAAACCTAAGCCATAGTTATTTAGCTATATTATTTAGTTTTATCTAAAATGAGTCTGCATTGCATGGTAATGCAAAATGTGGTTTAATTTTGATTTAGTGTAATGAGTGAATCTAGGGATGATGGTTTATAATCCATGGTTTATAATCTGAGATTATTTGTGAATTAGACCAGTATAGCTAGTGCCACAAATCATAATTAAAGCAATCACTTTATGGTGATAATTCATGGTGATAAATGTGCTCAGTCTTCAAGAAAGTTCATGACTCCATCTTGGAGTCAAAATGGACAGTTCAATGAAAATATCAGCTGCACAAGTGTGACAAAAAAAGTGGTAAATTCTTTTGTACTTAGCATTATTAAGAAGAGAACTGAACATAGAACTACCAATATAATAATTCCCTTAAACAAATTTGTGAGAGAACAAATGAAGGTATTGAGTATAGTCCTGGTCACAACAGAGTAAGGAGGTAGGTGCCAAACCAGTATGTGAGGAATTCTGCATTTTAGAGTAGGCTATTGCAGAGCTAGAAAAGTTACAAAAGGGGCAACTAAAATTATGAGGAGGCTGAAGTAACTCCCTTGTAAGAAAAGGCTACACAAATTTCAAGCTGTTTAGCTTGAAATTGAGGAGGGTAAGAAGACAGATGTTGTGGGTATATAAAATAATGCATGTCATACATAATGTGTAGGGAGAATTTTTCCCTCTCGCCTATGGTTAAACCTCAAGATAATTCATTGAAACTAAATGCAGCAGAACATTAGCCCATCTGTAATTGTCTGCTCTTAATCACATGCCATTAAAAGGGTCAAATACGTATAAAAATGTCACAATGAAAACTCTACTCTTTCATACCAGCAATACAATATTATATGCAAGAGCATAAGGAATAGAGTTTGCTTTGTTATGTCATGTAATGTGTTGTCTTCGTGTCTCCTTTGCTCATTCATACAGAACAATGGAGCAAACATAGCAGGGGGGAGGGGACATGACAGAGAGAGAGAGAGAGAGAGAGAGAGAGAGAGAGAGATGGATGTCATACCCTGTTTCCCCAAAATAAGACATCCCCTGATAATAAGACCAATCAGGCTTTTGAGCGCATGGCAATAAGGCCAAGCACTTATTTCAGGTTCAAAAAAAATATAAGACAGGGTCTTATTTTCGGGAAAACACGGTAGCATCTTGTTAAACTGTGAAATTTGTTGCAAGCTGTTGGAGAGTTTTCAAAGGAGACTGAACAGGTTCATCAAAGAACAAACTATCAATGCCTACTAATATTGAGGGTTCTTTACTGTTGAATCACAACATCCTGCCTTAATACTGGTTGCTGAAAAGTAACAACACAAGAGAATAATTGCTCACCAAACTTGCGTGCCAAATGCATGTAGCTGATCAATTGTGACAAAAAATGCTGGGTTTGATTAGGTTAATATAATGATAGTAATATATAATAATATAATGATAACAATAGACTGTGTTTGATAAGGTTCTTTGTATGATATGCAACTTCTGAAATGTAAAGCTTGAGATTAATCATTTGTCAGCCCACCTAAAAGCAGTGTTAAATTGGTTGAAATCAGAGGTGTGTAGAAAACAGTGTTCACTGTAACGCCTCATGTTGGCCATAGAAAAGGGTGTTCCTTAAACCCTCTTTTGTCAAATGAGTCAAACAGTTTAGGATGCTGAGTGTATGCTATGAAGACAATGATTGCACATTTCTCCTGATACAGCAGATTTCCTTTGATGGCTCAGGTTAATTTAGCTAGGATTACTGACACTAATTCTGTGACATCTGATGGCTTAACTAGAGGGCTCTTTCGCCACCTCCCGGAATTACTGACACTAATACCAGTTATTTGAGCCAGAAGTTTGCATTTTATTGATGAAATGTTTCGCCTTGTCAATAAAATGACAGTAAGCCACCCACAGCTTGTGCATAAATATTATATAAACTATTTAACATACTAGCATCAAAATTAAGATGCCAAACTGAATTAAAAAAATGAATTATGGTCTTCTCTGGAGGCTGACACATTATGCATTAATCACCTGAAGTTTCTTATTCGTGCAATTTACGAGCATGGATTTTTCCAATAATAGGCCCCATCTGGGCATTGGTTCATAGTTTTTTGATATATAACTAAGACCTTTATTTCTCCTCAAGCAACAGAAAATGCAACTCAAAGCAAAATTCCTTGAATTCTGAGTGCCAGAATGAAATAACAACAAAAGGAAAAAAGTAAAATAGTATACTGTATTATCTAATGGTGGAATAACAGAAATGTGACTAGATAATCCAGTATGAAAACATAACATATTAAGGCTGGCTGAAATCCTATAAATGCTTCTGTAGGCACAATTCCTATTGAATACAATAGGACTCAATTCTGAGTTAAAATAAGATACCCACAGGACAATCCTTTGCATGTCCTTTGATGCTCAATTGTTCCTTTTAACATCTTCTGACTATGGTGCCATTCCATACATATCTGCCAATGTATCCCACTAAATACTTTCCAAGAACCCAGGAACAGGATCTGAATTGATAGCATTTATGAACAAATAAATT